AGGTTGTTGAATAGCATAGTGTCCATCTTACCAATAATTCTGCATTTCGCATCTTTTTATTTTTCACCCTACCAGACAAAAAAGTTAGGTGCAGTATTCTACATGCGTCATGTGATTTTTCAGTTTGCCTACTAAGAAAATTCCTCACATTCCTCGCCCCTAAAAGGTGTAAATTTCGGAAAGCGTTGTTAAGGGAATCGAGTTGAAGAAAGGAAAGCACACTAGATGACCACATCATGTTTAATAACAAGGCCATATCACAGAATTAAATGCGAGGAGTAAAGCAGTACAGAAAATGCCCTGTTATTACAATTAAAAAGCTCACCCATGGCCTTCCTTATCAGTTACTATCCACCCGCCCATGGAATTTTCACCACTCGGATTTGTAATCAGATTCTTTCCGAATGGCTGGATAAAAGCAACTTTTTTGGTATTCAGTTCCGGCACAAGTCGTAGCGAATGTGGCGGCAAAGTCTGTGATCGATATTTCATATAACTGATCCAAAAACCGGGCAAAGATAGAACATAGTGCCATCGACGACACACCTGAACGAGCAGGAATACAATGATATAGCAGTCTAGAAGTAGTTTCAGCTTACAATAAATCTTTAACAATTAGCACCGCACACAAAATTTGTCGGTATAGTCTTTCGCTTTTGCAAGGTTTCGTGTAATAATAAAAACGTTCACAGTAACAGCATTCATAACTTCACAGTCTGATATGCGCACTTTCACCGGAACTGTTCTTGCTGGTCCTTTCTTTCATATTAGAGGGAGACGCCCCTGGGCTGAGCAGTGGACATTTCTTACCATTAAATAATTCTATTAATTTACTAATTTTGTAATTCTCATCTCCTACTTTTCATTTTGTTCTCTTTTCATTCATTGTTAATACACCTTCCTATTAATATACTTCCTATTACTGTGATGGGTCGTGAAAACCTCAACTATTGTTGTCTAATTTCCGAGAGAGAGAGAGAGAAGATGTCGACAATTCCGCAAATTGAGTATTTGGCGTGTCTGAATATACGGAAACAGGCGATAACACACTTTCAGCTTATGGGCCTGCACATGGACAGCAAACATTCTGATACAAATACGCCTTCCTATCATTTTCACTAAAAATATGTGCGAATGCAGCATACATGACACAGGCAAAACGTTTAGGGAAGCACATTAGCAAGAACATACTCGCGAAATCTCAGCTTTCTGCCTTGAATAGTCCCGAAATAGCTTTACCGCTAACACCTTTTCATTTTGATGCGTTTTTTGCATATATGCAATGTAGGGAACGCATACTGAAGAGGGATTGTCTGTGTGTCGGTACCGATTTTTCATCTCAAGACCTACAAAAGCTACAGGACTGAAACTCTGGGAACTTGATCTACATGCATGTACGGGTCTCAATCCCCAAAATGGGCGCCCTTACCCGCGTGGTACCCACACAGGAGCACGCCAAAGTTTTTCACGGGCAAGCTACTAACTCGAGAACCAGAAACGCTGGAACGCTGAAATTTTAAGGGGCCGTTTCCCGTCCAAGTAGATATTGATAAGTTCTAGTCCCGGGGAAGCGTGGCACTCACGTGGGATCCGTGAAAGTTTTTCTCGGGTAACTTGATAACTCAGGAACCTGAAAAGCTAGAAGACTGTAATTTTAAGGGGATATTCCCCATCCAAATAGGTATTAATGAGCTCAGACCCAGACACAGGGTATGCGTGGTATCCACGTACGGCCATGAAAATTTTTTCCGAGTAGTTGCTAACTCGGGAGCTGGGAGAGCTAGAAAGCTGAAATTTTAAGAGGGTGTTTCCTAAGAGTTCTGGCGGTTAGTCTTAATTTGTTTAGTAAGAAGTATTTGCCGGAAGTACGGTGCCCGTAGCAACAAAAGGGGGAAACTATCCAAAAAACGCATC